CGCTGCCTGCTCAGATGGTGGGGGGGCGCTGTCCAGTTAGATGGTGGGGGCGCTGTCCACTCAGCTGGTGAGCGAGCATGCCCCTGGGCACTCTTACAGCCTGACCTGGATTACCTGGCCAATCAAGAGGAAGAAGGCAGTCCCAGGATGTGGCCTTTTTCAGTGGGTGGCCAGGAGAAAGGAGGGGAGAGGGAAGGTGACCGGAGAGGCAGAGATGGCCACTGCAAGGGTGGAGAAGGAGACGGCCCACTTGGCCACCTGTGAGACACAGTCTCTGCTCCCGGAGGCTGTCTGCAGATTCCGGCGTGCACCAGAACCCGGCCTGCTGTAAGTGGGGCCATGATACTTGGCCTGGGACTTGGCTCCTATCTGAAACACCAGGAAGAAAACAGCACCTGCAGCCTCACAGGCTGGAGGTTCGAGACTGTCCAGAGGAACCTCAGAAGACGGGCCTGGAGAGCTACTGAAATGACAGCACTGGAAGCAGTTCTTCAAGACACACGTGGCGTCCTGAGTCAGAAACATCTGTTCAGAAGCCTGCTTTGGAGGGAGATGTCGGGAAAAGCAGACATGGGGTCCTGGCTGAGTTAATGGCTGTCACAGAATGATGAGCCAGGTGACAGAGGTGGGTGGCCAGGAGCAGCTCCGAGGAGTGCAGGACCCCAGGTTTGGACTTTTGCACTAGGAGCCACTGATGATGTCATGTTGCACTGGGTGGGCACCTGGCAGACAGGCCGTGGGGACAGATCGGTAGCTCCACCTCTTTGGAGTGGGCACAGTTAGGGATCTCTCCAGGTAGCTGTCTTTCCAGTATGGGACGGCACAGTGTGGGAGCATGTCCGGGGCGGCATCTGTTACGAAACACCTCGGCAGGCATTCTGTCCCATCCGGGCCTTTGGTTTTGGCTTCAAAGCCCTCAGTGCAGCCTGAGAGGCTTCCTTCAGCACCACTGCTTCCTGCTCGTGTGCTGCTTCCTGAAGGGGTTAAATGTGGGCCTGTTCTGTCCATCGCCTGTGGGTCCTTCATCGGTCAGCACTCTGTGCCCTGGCCTGTGCCCCGGCGCTCAGCCACTCTGTGTGACCGCGGAGCTCTGTGCAGCCCTGCACCAACCCCACAGCCTCTGCTCATGCCCATTGCTGCACTCACCTCAGTCCACCTCGTTGAGCTCCAGAGAGCTGTGCTGGAGCCAAACCACAGTTTAGTCAGCCGGTCCACAGACATGTGAAAATGGAAAAGGAATGAAAAAGCCTGAGGAAGGAAGGTCTGCCTCATAGTGTCGGTGAAGCACACAGTACACTCGGGCGGCCGAAGGGCCCGGCCTCTGTGTTGGAGGAAGAGCAGCCTGAGTGCTCCTTAGAGGCAAGGATGTGAAACTTTAGCTGACGTAGTTTGCACATGTGATCAGGAGGGGCAAGTCCTGGGAGAAGGACGTCCTGCTTGGAAGAGTAGTGGTCAGTGGAGAAGAGCGATACCCTCGCCCAGGCGCATCTGGACGAGGACGAGGAGCTGTCAGTGTTGCGGTTCACGGCGTGACTGACTTGCTCTTTAGTTCCTGCAGCTTGAGAAACTGTGGGCTCTTCCCCTCGGTTTTCTACTCCAGGCTTGGAGTGTTTCGTGGTGGCACTTGCCTTGGTCAGCCCGGGAGCCTCTGAAGGTTGCCTGTCTCTTGCTTTGTCACTTCTGTTTGATCTGGCTTCTCCACGTTAGAGCAGGCGTCATGGCTCCTCTAAGGTCCATTTGGTTCTGTTCGTTGCTGTGTTTTAATGACTTTGCTTTCTTCACATGTGATGTCATCTGACAGCTCATGAGGCCTTGGTCATTATTTGGTGCAGTTCAGCTGCACCGAGTCTCTTTTTAGATGGTCTCTTTCAGGTGGGGCATACTCAAGGTCGGGGCCACTGGTGGCACAGTGCACAGAGCGATGCACTGCCAGCCTGAGGGCGGAGCCTCTCAGGAGCTTCGAATCCCCGGGAGTGCTGAGGGAGAAGCGAGCCTGCCTCCTGCCCCGTGATTCCCAGCCGCTGAGACTGCTGGAGAGATCTGGGAGCGCCTTCCAACTCCGTGGAAATGAGTTGACTTTCATACTCAAGGAATGTTTTGACGCTCAGAGACTTGTTTTACGTTTCTTCAGCGTCAAGTTGAAACTGCACATGGGCAGCTCTGCCCGGGCCGTCTTCCGACTGACGATAATGAGCATCTTTAGTGTCTGTCTGCAGATGTGGCCAGGGACACATGTGTGGTTGCCATTCATGTTGGAAAGTGCGGTCTCCAGGGTTGGTTGTTCAACTCTCCGTCATGCCATTTTCGGTTGCCTTTCTGTCACCAAGGCCATATTTTTCAACTACCAATAGTCTTTTTTTCTGGCTTTTGCAGTGCAATCACCAGTAATTATCAACACATCTCAAATGCATGTCTGAGCAATTGCAAACTGCAGAAATTGGGGAGCAGAAACTCCTCAATTTCTTAATCTTTGGCTCTAGTAGTTGGTTTGCAAATTTGAAGGATAGATCAGGGGTCTCCCTCACATGCATATAGATGGTGTGTGACAATGACAGGTCATGTCTCAGGAGAGATCCGAGGGACACTACAGCCTCTTCCTGGCAGAGTAGATCCTTCTGATGGGAGAAGACTAGCCATCTTTCTCCCTCAGGTGGCTTTGAACCGCCGACCTTTCAGTTAGTAGCCCAGTACATTAAGCACGGTGCCGCCAGGACTGGCACGATGGGAGTGCGTGTTCTGGTGCGTGCGTGTAGACGGCCTGCCATCCACAGCGCTGTGCTTTAGGACGGGCCTTAAGACACTCTTTCTGAAGAGGAAGGTGACTCCATGCCTCGTCATTTGTCCTTCCAGTGCAAGGCCATTTGCTTGTGTCCTTCCGTCCAGAGGTCCACGTGTGTGGACGAGCTTGCCTGGTTGAAAGCCGGTGTTTGAGAGGACTGGCCTTGGAGAGTCTTGCCGTGTGGTCATGAGTGTCCCTTCTGTCGCCTCGCCTTCCACCTGCTGAACCTGCAGGTATGTGGGTGGGGGCTCACGGTGTGTGACTCTGGGGCGGGGTACACCCATCAGTGGTCTTCCACCCCTGGGCCCCCCACCCTCTCTATGGCATCTCTTGAAGGTGGAGATGGATAGACGCTGTAGAGAGGGTGGGCAGTGGCAGGGATGACCAGGTGGTCTTGGTGTGCTCATCCCAACCAGGGTGCCCAGGCCGGGTCTCGCTGCTGCTGCTGAGGTCCACCTGCACAGGTGCACCACCCAGGCTCTGTCTTCAAGGAGCACCTGAAGGAAGGTTCCAGAAGACGTGGTGGCTGTACCTGGGTGGCTCATGGGCAGCGCCTCGCAGCAGGAGTGGTCATGCTGCAGTGTAGGCCGGCCCAGGAGTTCAGCTTCGGCCCCCGCGCTCTCAAAGATGCACTGGTGTCCACTGACACGGCCCTGCGCCAGCTCTATGCCACAGCCCTCTCGCCCACTGAGCGGCTCTTCCTAGCCGAGGCCTATGACCCCCAGGCTGCCCTCTTCTGTCCACTGCGCATCCATGCAGCCTCCGACTGGCTCCTGAGCCGCCCTGAGCCCCCCGAGGACTTCCAGACCTTCTACCAGGCCTTGCAGCACCAGAGGCCCAGCCAGGGCAGGAAGCATATCTACCTACAGCCCATAGGTACCAGATGGGCGGTCCCGTAGGCACCAGGTGGGCGGGACCATGGGTACAGGTGGGCAGGGCCATATACACCAGGTGGGCTGGACCTTAGGCACCAGGTGGGCGGGACTTTGGGTACGGGTGAGGGGGGGGGGGGGGTCATCAGCTTACTAGGTGGGCAGGACCATTTTGCCAGGTGCATACGGCTGTTGCCAGATGGACAGGAAGATGGGACTTGTAGGTATCAGGTGGGCAGGGCCATGGGGGCTTGTCAGGTGGGTGGTCTTACCAATACCAGCCCTCACCCCACCCCACCCCATGTCCTCTGCTCTGCCTGGGTTGGTTTTGGTCAGCAGTGACACCCAGTAGGCTGCCTCCAGTCAACTGTGCCACCCCCTCTGGCCCCTGTGTGCCCAAGGAAGCTCCTTGGGGTGCATCTGGTTAAGTGCTAGACTACTGACTGAAAGGCTGGCAGTTCGAATACTCCTAGAGGCACCTCAGATTAAAGGCTTGGCAATCTACCTCTGAAAAGTGGGTCCGTGAACCCCAAGGAGCCAGCTCTAGGGAGCCAGCTGGACAGGCAGCATCGGGGTCTGGCTCGGCTCCCACCCCCACAGCAGAGAGGCAAGGGCCACAGTACAGCCGGTCACACCAAGTGGACATGAAAGTTAGGTTTACACGATGCCCAGTCTGCGGGGCGCTCGGGAGGTGTGGTCTGCAGGAGCCGTGCTGTTAGCCCCAAGGCCACACCTCTCTGGGGGTTCAGAGCGTCTGAGCGACTCCAAGGGAGAAAGATGGGCGGCTCCCTCCCTGCAGGTTACCTCTGAAAACCTGCCTGAGGGTCAGCTGTGAGTCAGAGCTGATAGCAGTGAGCTGAGCTCAGCTGAGCAGTAACGTGATGAAAACGGGGAGAGTTGAGAGAAAGAGCTAAATGTGACAGAGACACCCCGTGAGCACGTGCTGCTGGGAGCGCCGCTCCTTACCCCGCGCCAGGCAAGGGGGCCACAGCCCTTCAGTTTGTGAAAAACAAACCAAGCAACTGGGAATATCTTCAAAATGCAGGCAACAGAATTTTTCCGGGTGCTGTTCTCAGCTGGCTCATGCTAGCTGGCCCCCTGGACGAGGGTCCTGGGCAGTTGGTGGGCCCCCAGGCAGACAGGGAGGACGCCCCAGGACAACCTGCTGCTCTGCCCACAGATCTGAGTGAGGACCTGGTGGGATGGCCCCTGCTGGACAGGATGCGGAGCTATGCTGAGGCCTTCTTTCTGGGCCTGAGGGTCAAGTGCCTCCCGCCTCTGACCGCTGTGTCTGTCCACTGCTCCTCGCGGCCCAGGCGGGACTTGGACCAGCTCCAGTTCTACACAGGTGGGTGAGCCCAGGTCCCTCAGGTACCACCAGGCAGGGTGGTCCCAGGGCTTAGAAGAACTGAGCGCTGGCTGAGGTCTCCCGAGGAGTGAACCCAGGGAGACGTGTGGGTTTCCATGTAAACAGCTGTCCTGTGCTGTTGAGGGCCTGGCCGGGTCCACACCTGCAGGCGGAGCGGTGGGTGGACAGCCCCACAGGACCTGCTGGATCACTAGGAGCCAGACGAGCTGTCTGTGGGCTTCCTGTCAGCAGGAGAGCGGCATGAATTCCCTACGCGCCGTCAGGGAGAGCAGCCACATCGAGTGTTCAGGGTAGACGCTGTCGTCGTCAGGTACCGACCTGGTGCACACAGGTGGAAACCCCACTGATCCTGCACCGTGCGGGTGTCTGCCGAGCGGGCGTCTGCCGTGCCCTGGCCCCTTGGTGCAGTCAGGTTGCCCACCTTGTTGAGAGGCTTCTTTCTCGCTGGCCCAGTCTTTCCAAGCATCGGATTAGACAGGGGCCATGCATTTGAACTCTTCTCACCGAGCAGGGACTGGCACAGGCCGTGAGGATGGGCTCACACGCGGCAGTGACCGTGGATGGCTCAGGGCCGGTGTGTTTACAGGATCAAAGTGGGCGGCGCTGACTCAATGGCATCAAGCAGTAGGCGCTTGGCCGGGCCGGGGGCTCTGTCCAGTGGTGGCACGCTCTCTGGTCAGGGCTGGTCACTGAGACTGGCTTTCATCCAGAGTGTAACCCAGACTTGCCAGGGCTCCTGTTCTCCGAGGGTCCAGATGGCAGTGTGATCCTCCGGCCACTCGGCCTCAAATGCAGGCCTGGGACTCCTGCCTCTCAGGACTAAGCCTCCAGCCAGTCACATGAAGTGTCATCCCCGATGATTGTCTCTGGGAGACAAGGACACCCAGCCTCTGTCCCACCCACGCCTGCTGTCCCTTGGAGTTCTCCCAACACCGAGTTGCCTTAAAGTGTTACATGTCTGCTTTGTTGTTGTTGTGCCATCAGATTTTTTTTTTCTATAATTATATTTTATTAATTTTCATAAACATTTACAGAGATTTTGGGCTTCCACTCATTCATTGTTGCACTATTCTCTCTACCCTCCTCCCAGTTTGTTCTTGTCCAAATGCCACAGTGCTTGTCAAAGCCAGTCCTGATTAATCTTCTTTGTCAGTGTGTCCTTTGCCATTCCCTATCACTCCTCCCTGAGAGAGACTTCACCCTGAGTCATAAGGAAAAGGGGACGGCGTATTCTCTTAGCTACTTCCTGCTGAAAAGGGACGCTGTGGGTTTCAGGGTGAAGATCTTCTCTTACTACTCTAAAGGGCCCCTTTGGCAGTAGGAAACACATAGACTATTATGGAGATTGATTTTGGAATTTAGATGCACTCTTATTGATTGTGCTTGGCCGTACATGTTCATATCCTTGAAGATGTATCATGGGGGTGTGCAACCTAGAAGACACAAATTTGACTAACAAGTTATAAGTACATGAGTCCAGAAATTATGGAAAAGTAAAAGAAAAGATTCTTTCATTGTTTTACAAACCCTCCCCCAGGTCCCCTCCACCATGTAGCCCTCGCTCTAGTCTCCTGTGATGACAGAAATACCCAGTTATATCTCTCTTTTAAACGGTTCTCTCCCTCCTCTGTTTCAGTGCAGTATACATTATTGAACCCATCTTACTCAGTCTCTCCCCAACCCCAAGGACAGTCCCATTCTACAACAGTGGCATCATGTAATATTTGTCCTTTTGTGACTGGGATATTTCACTCAGCATAATGTTCTCCAGAGTCAACCATTTTGAATAATATTGCATGAGTTCCTTGTTTTTTAATGCAGCATAGTATTCCATTGTGCGAATATACCACAGCTTCTAGCCATTCGTTTGTTGTTGTTGTGCCATCAGATTGACAACTCACAGCATCTTATGAACAATGCCCTGAACCTCGCCTGTCCTGAGCCGGCCTCACCATCTCAGACACACAGACCGCAGTTCCACAATCGCTGTCAATCCATTTTACACGTGGTTGAAACCGCTGATAGGAGAGGGAGCTGGCTCAGGAAAGGTCAGATGGCAGCTAGAACCCAGAGGTCGTGCTGAGTCAAAGCAGTTCATCACCATCACCGTATCATCACCGCCACTGTCACCTCCTCCCACTCCTCCTCACCACCGTCACCATCAACATCACTTCTGCCGTCATCACCGCCACCATCATCATCCCCTTTTCCTCTTCCTCCTCATCACCACAGATACCACCGTCACACTCGTCACCATCACTGTTACTACCGTCAACATCATTGCTGCCATCACCACCACCACCATCACCAAAACCACCACAACCAACCACCTCCACCACCACTACCACCTCCATCACAGCCACCACCACCATCACCACCACCATCATCACCAAAATCACCACAACCAACCAACCACCACCACCACCACATCACCAAAATCACCACAACCAACCACCTCCACCACCACTACCACCTCCATCACAGCCACCACCACCACCACCACCACCATCATCACCAAAATCAACACAACCAACTACCACCACCCCACCTCCATCATTACCACCATCACTACCTCCACCATCACCACCTCCACCAGCACCACCATTCTTGATAAAGAATATTGATCACACTTTGGACTGCCAAAAGAACCAGCAAATCTGTCTTCAGAGAAGTGCAGAGCCCACACTCATCACGGTGGTGGAGCAACCTGCACCAGTGGGCTTTGTGGCTTAGTGCCTTCCCCCGTGTCTAGCCACCTGTGATGGCACATTGAAGCCTGATGGGTCACCTCCCAGGTTTCCACCAAGGGACAAACACGAGAGTATGGCAGCCATCCCCTCCAGCATCTCACTTGTGGCCACCCACAACTACTACCGATCCTGGGATCCACTTCCAGTATCAGCTCCTATGGAGGTACTGAGCACGGGGGAAGCCCTTCCCCATCACCCTGGGCTCCACAAGGCTGGCCCAGCCCACTGCTGGCCCAGATTCTTTTCCAAGAAGACCAGCGTCTCATTCATGGCCACCGTGTTGGAGTCCCCTGAGCACTCAGGACCCCCACTCCCCGGGCCTCTGGTGTGTGGTGGCCTCGGAGCTGGCACAGGACACCATGAGGGAGCAGCCTGGCAGCACCCAGGTGGCACTGGCCCCGGGCTTCTCTTGAATGGGCACCATCACCACCACCAACACTTTCCTGAGGACCTTCTGTCGGCTCCTGCCTGCCCCACCCTATAGATGAGGCAGGTGTGCTAAATGGAGAAGTGGGTGGTTCTTTCTATATCAAAAAAGTAAAACACCAAAAAGTTGAGAGAACCTCATTCTTTACTGTCTAGTCACGTGAACTTTCCTGCTATCCTAGATGTCTTATCACCCCAAGTGAAAATAACGTTGAAGCCACAAAAACAAAACAAAACAAAACAGCCAGAATGCAGGAGTGGTGGGGTGCTGGGCTGCGGGAGTGATGGGGTACATGAGTGGTGGGGTGCTGGGATGCAGGAGTGGTGGGGTGCAGGAGTGGCAGCGAGCCGGGGTGCGGGAGTGCTCCTCGACGGGAGAATAGAGACTCCGGCCCATGTCCTTTGGCTGTGGCGGGTCCAGCCCCTGGAGGGACTTTACGCTTGTTGAAGTAGAGCGTTGGTGGAGAAGACAGTGCTGTGAGTCCAGCTCTGAACCAGGGTCACTGTCCCTGGCTCAGCCCTAACTTTGGGAGGACTGATCTTGGCAGAGGATGGGGCACTGCAGGTGGGCTTGCCCAGAGCGTGGGGAGGGCAGTCAGGTGGTCACGGGTGGCTGCCCCAATCTCCCTGATCTGTGTCTACAGATGACCTCCTGTCCTTCCTGAAGTGTCACAAGCCGGACGACGCGCTCTGTGTGCTGGGCCTCACGCTGTCCGACCTGTACCCCCAAGACAGCTGGAGCTTTACCTTCAGCAAGTCCCTCCCCGGGCATGGTGAGCAGCTCGTGGTGTGGGGACCCCCCTCCCTGGCCATCCTCACTCCTGATGAACCTGTGGAGCAGCCACCAGGCTGTGGGCCCACATTCCAGCTCCTGGGCAGTGGCCACGCCAGGGCCATGCGGCGTGTTTGCTGGGTGGAGAGGAGGGGCCAGCCCTGCCCACAGCCACCTGTCCATCTCTCCCCAGACGTGGGTGTCTGCAGCTTTGCCCGGTTCTCTGGGGAGTTCCTGCTGCCAAAGCCCGGTGGCTCTGACCCTGACCCTGTGGAGGTGACAGCGGATGACCCTGAGGCCCCTGTACTAGAGAGGAGCTGGGCGCAGGGCTTCAGCCTCCTGGGTGTGATCCAGTGCTGTAAGGTGAGCATATTGGGCAATACCAGGGGGGGTCAGAGGGTGAGTGCCACTGAGCAGACAGACCTGGAGAGGCTGGGGGACAGAGACGGGCCCGGGGTCTGCTGAGCAGACAGACCTGGAGAGGCTGGGGGACAGGAGTCGGGGAGACAGGCCTGGAGTCTGCTGAGCTCTGGGGAGTTGGTGAGGATGTGGCATGGGCGAGAGGAAGGAGCTGGCCCCAGGTCCGGCCCTGCACCAGGCTGGTTCTGGCCTTGAACCACTGTCCTGCTCCTCAAGGAGTCATCCTCATGCCAGGAGTGGGGAAACTGAGGCTCAGATCCTTTGCCCAAGGCAGAGGAGCAGGTGAGTGGCAGAGCAGGGTGTATGACCCCAAAGCTCCTACTTCTGCAGCATCCCGGAGCTGACCACATGGACCACCTGTCTGCCGGGTGTGGCCAGTCGTGTGAAGGACATTGTCATTGGTGCCAGGAGCAGCCTGGTGTGGCTCTGTGCTCATTTCCTGTCACCTGGACCCTTGGTCTGGCCAGCTCATGCCCTGGGCTGTGAGTGTCCCAGGGGTGGTTGCATGGTCTGGACTCAAGGTTTCTGGACAGGGGTTGGTCGTCTCTTCCCCAGGTCATGTGTCATGAGCTGTGCCACCTGCTGGGCCTGGGGAGCTGCCGTTGGCTGGGCTGTGTTATGCAGGGTGCCCTCAGCGTGGACGAGGCCGTGCGGCGGCCCCCCGACCTCTGCCCCATCTGCCTACGAAAGCTGCAGTACCTCCTGGGCTTCCGCCTCCTCGACAGGTACAAGGTGAGTCGTCAGGTGAAGGGTACTTGCTTTGTTCTGGCTGCAGAAATGGTGGGCAGGGCCTCGGTCAGTCATGTCCACTGTGATCAGCGAAGCGGAGGGAAGCCGGCTCCCCTGGTTTATAAGCTGTCAAGTCCTAGAGGACAGAGCCCCTGTAGTTAGGACAGGAGTGGGGGGGGGGTCTTCACTCTGGGACCAGCACCGGTCCTGGTGGAGCCGAAGAGCCCACTTCTGGCCTGTGTTTACGGGCTTCCAGGTGGAGCCGGAACAGACGTCGTGAGTACAGAGATATTTCTGTAAGGACATGGCTCCTGTAATTGTGGGTGGCTGGTGTACCTCAAATCTGTAATCGGGTGGCAGGTTTCAGGTTAAGTCTCAGGAATCAGAGGTCAGGACTGAGAGGAGTGGAGGATGGAGGGTGAGGGTGAGGGCTTGGCCAGAACAACAGCTCACATCAGATCACTAGTGGAAGGCGATTTCATGCTGCTGCGTTACAGAGACGCTCATGTCCAAGGTCGGCTAAACCTCTGAGAACTCTAGTTCAGCCACACTGATGCACACTGTGAACCCTCAGAGGGTCCCATCTGTCCTTAGCCCAGAGGAAATGGAGCAGGGAAGCAGGTGTGGGGCAGTGAGGGGAGTGGTGAGTCCCAAATAGGATCCCTGAGTCCCCATGGACTTTGGCTGAGCTGTTCCAGGCCCAGTGTCTGTTTCCTGTTAGTCCACCTGTGTGGTACTTAGCTCATTGGTGGTTGAATGGATGCATAACCTGCTTGGACCTGTGAACATGACAGGTAACCAGGAAGGGAAAGGTAGGGTCCCTCCAACCCCAGGCTTCTTGCTCCCACGAAGCCCACCAGGCTGTGTTCTGGGAGCTGCAGGGGTCATACTGGGCACTTGGTCAGCACTGGGGCGAAATGGGCCCTCTCCATACCCTAAATGGAAAACCAGTCTTCTCTGTAAACTTTCACGTAGATCACAATTAAAAGCTTTTTAAAAAAGTACAGCCTTGGCGAAACCCTGTGGGGTGTCCCTGTGCCCGGCGGGGTGACCCTGTGCCCGGCAGGGTGTCCCTGTGCCCTGCGGGGCAGCTCTGTGCTGCTGGAAGCCCTATGCGGGGTGTCCCTATGTGGGTGTCCCTGTGCCCGGCGGGGTGTCCCTGTGCCCTGTGGGGCAGCTCTGTGCTGCTGGAAGCCCTATGCGGGGTGCCCTTATGTGGGGTGTCCCTATGTGGGGTGACCCTGTGCTGTCCTCCAGGGTTGCTGTGAGTTGGAACCACAGGGCACTGGGTTTGCTTTCAGCTGGTGCCACGCGCGGACATCAGCCCAAGCACAGAACTTGTACTGGCTGCGCGTCTTGTGTTGCAGAGGCAGCCACTTTGTTCACCAGCACCCCAGCTACCCCCGTCCCTCATGGCGTCTCTCACAGATCCCAGCAGTCTCAGGACAGGCTGGACAAACAGGCAGGCCTGTTCCTTCGCTGCTGTCCCGCACCCTGGAGCAGAGCAGCGTAGCAGTGCTGCCCTCTCCTGCCTTCCTGGGGAATTGCCTGGCCAGGGCCCGTGGCAGCTGCCCTCCGTCACCTTGCTCCATTGTGGGAAAGAAGCTGGGAGGCTGGTTAACAAACTGGAAGCTTTACCCTGAGTCCAGGGTTCAAGGACAAGGGTTATTTGTTTTGTTCTTTAAACTCTCCTTTGGAAGAATACAATTGAGTTAGGAGACCTTTCACTTGATTGGAAGGCTTTGCTTTTAAAGTTTTTAATAGGCTTTCTGTTTAGAGCAAGAAGCCCTGGTGTGCTGAGTGATAGACTGGGAACAAAAATGTACT